GAATTCCCCAGCCAGCCATGCTGGCTGGGGAATTCTGGGAGTTCGAGTCCACCCATCTGAAAGCTGCCAAGGTTGAGAAATACTGATCTACATAATGGGGTTGCATATAAATGCTTCCAAAGGGTGCTAAAGATAAAAGGGAATTGCCTTAATACAGGCTCCCCAAACTTAACACCCTCCAGATGTGCCAGGACTCCAGTTCCCACAACTCCTTGCCAGCATTATGGAGATGGACTCCCAAGACATCTAGAGGGCATCAAGTTAGGAGAGGTGGTTGTAATAACTCTACTTCAGGCTGAAGTTCACCTTGAAGTGTTTGTAAATGTTACAGTGAAAAGCAGCCAACTGAAAACTGAGCCAACAACTGCAGATCCTGGATTTTAATATGTAACTAGGAGAGAATTGTGTTGCTTTTGGACTACTCCTTATCAAGTTATGTCATCATGAGCTTTCTTAACTTTCTTGTTTAGGGCTGCTTTGTCCTGATGGTCAGCTCCTACACTGAAGGAAAAACTGGCCAAAGAAAAGGAAAAATTATCCCTGCCAATTAAAGTCATCACAGAAAAACTGGCTTAATTAACTCTCAGTCCTCCCTTTCAGCTTGGCTCAGCATCCAGCTTGCTTTCTGGGGATCTGTATGGTGCAAAGGGGCATCTTCCACTCCGTTCCCTATTGCTGGCATTCTGTTCTTCTCTGCCCACGCGTGGATGGGTGGAAACAGTTTCTGCTTTCCATCCCAGCGTTAACATGCCACTTACAAGAGCAGGCTTGTTCCAATTTGGCGCCCTTCTGAAATGTTGGGATTGCAACTTTTGGACTTGTAGCACATCTGGAGAATGCCAAGTGGGCTCACTTCCGATGCTCTGTGCAAGGGCTACAGTCACGGAGGTCCATTTGCCATTCTGTGTCTTTGGCCCCATTCACGTGGATGGGAGCTGGTGAAGAGAGTGTGGGTGAGGGCCCTTCCACACACAAGAACTGCCCTTGTGTGTCTCCATGATGGAGCAAAGCTTCTAACAGGCTTGGCGAGCTGAGTTAATTCATTTTAGATAGTAATCCAATCAGCTCCGCTCCAGAGGAAATGCTGCAGTGGAAAACTCAACCACTGGTATAAAAAATAGCATAAAATAGTATAGAGATAAAAATAGTATAACATAGTATAAAAATAGGTATTTTTCCCCTATTTCTTTCTTTATAATAGGGTTCCCCAAAGTGGTCAATATCAACCCCCAAGGGACGATCGGACTATCCAAGGGGTCGATCAATGTCTGGGAGTCAAAAGGGGGTCAGTAAATGTCTGGGGGTCAATAGGGGGTCAATAAATGATGGAAGGTTGATTGGGGTCAATCTTTTAGGGTCTCAGTAGACCTCCATGCCAATCCTTAGTCCTGAAGGTGTGGTGGCTAGCGGCAGGACAGTGTTACCAGGGTTGAATGCAGCCTCCAGTGAGAGCGGTCTTCAGTTGTCTCTATTATTGTTGTTTTTTTATTAGTAGTAGTACTATTAGTTAAAGTAGCATTACATTATTTTCATACAATAAAGGTTTGGGGGTTGGTGAACAATCTGAAACTTCATGAAGGGGTCGGCGAGCTGAAGAGTTTGGGGACCCCTGGTTTGTACCTTCCCTTGCTTCAAAAAAGGGAAGGGAGAAGGCAGAATATTGGCTAGGTTGTTCTTGAGCACATGGACCATCTGTAAGGAGAACTGGCCAAGTCAAGGAAGGGGTCAGTCCTACTCAATGGCACAAAAGTCCCTCTTACATTTAGGGAATGAAGCCAGCAGCTATGTCGAAACGTTTGGACTTGAACACCTGTGTACAACAGGCCCATTCAGGAAGCCCACAATGGAGACTTGATGATGCAAGCTATTCTCTTTTCCTTGAACCCTAAAATGCCATATAATACCGACTGAACTGGACTGCACAGCTTCTGAGAATTATTTCAAGGCGACGTATATGGTAAACACTAGCCTCCTGCATAAACGCTCAGGGTTATCTTCAAATATAGGTAACGTGGGAAATTACAGGTGTGAGTTTTCCATGATGCGGAACAGCTTTTCCTAACTCCTCCCAGATTTCCACAGCTGGAAGGCCCTGGAGTAATAAGAGTGGTGATCTCAACAGATCTAAGCGGTACAGTCCTAGATTGGGGAAGATTCATGCGTTACTTCCATGTTAAAAATGTAGTGTGAGAATCATCCGTGGAGAAATAGTTCTGTTATAGTAGCCCAGTGTTTCTCGACCTCAGCAACTTTAAGATGGGCGGACTTCAACTCCCAGAATTCCCCAGCCAGCAT